AATATATATATTTACTATACACTATATTTTTATATTTTCTATTTTTATTTTATACTCAATAGTATAGTATTATTATATTATAGCATTATGATATTAAAGTTTTAATAATATCATCTCACATTGCAATAATATCAGCAGCGCTGTAATTTCTTAGGTTGCTGCTATAATTTGGTGGGTCCCCCAAAGGCGCTCGGCAGATGTATTTAATCAACGTTTCTTCCTAATTAAAAATTTCAGATACTCAGGGTTGAATTGATGGAGAAACTGGGGTTTGGGGTTTTTTTTCACAAAATTTTGTCTAAAATGGAATTTTGGGGGTGAGATGTTCTCAGATGTTCTCACCTGGGCGTTGGGGATCTGCAGGGCACCGGGGGCGATGGCTTGGGCGAGGACCTGACCCTGTGACGTCACCATCGTCACCGGCTGGTACAAAGCTCCACCTATGGAAAAAAAGTCCATTTTTCAATTTGGGGGGGATCAAACCTCAAATTTTTCATTCCCCCCATCAACATCGCGGCCAATCCCTACCCGGCACGGCGGGTGAGCCGCTGCCGGCACTCATGGCCAAGTTGCCCGGCGGTAGCGCGGCCGTTGGCACCACGATGCCTGGCGGCGGGTTGGAGGTGGGCGGTAGCGCCGCGGGGGAGCTCTGCAGCATCTCCTGCGGGGAAAAAAGATGAAAACCATGAAATTTCACACGTGAAGATGCAAAGTTTGTGTTTTTCCCCGCCAATAAATTCATCTCATTGCCTTTTTTTTTCGGTCTCTAGGTGGTTCAAGAGGCAAAATTGCAGAAAAAAGGATTCTTCAGTTTGTTGCAATTGCAAAAAAAAAAGGCTGAAAAGGAAAAAAAAATGGAAAAATTGAAAAGGAAAATTTTGCAATTGTCAAAAAAAAAAAAAAGGGGGGACAATAAAAGAAATTGAAAAGGAAAATTTTGTAATTGTCAAAAAAGGTGGAAAATTTTTTTTAAAAATGAAAATTTTGCAATTGCCGAAAAAGGTGGGAAAATTTAAAAAAATTGAAAAATTGAAAAGGAAAATTTTACAATTGCCAAAATAGGTGGAAAAATTTTTAAAAGTGAAAAATGGAAAAATAAAATTTTGCAATTGCCAAAACAGGTGGGAAAATAAGAAAACTGAAAAATTTAAAAGGAAAATTTTGCAATTGCAAAAAAAAGATGGGAAAATAAAAAAGATTGAAAAATTGAAAAATAAAATTTTGCAATTGCCAGAAAAGGTGGAAAAATTAAAAAAAAAAGAAAAGGAAAATTTTGCAATTGCCAAAAAAAAGGTGGGAAAATTATTTTTTAAAAAAAGAAAAATTGAAAAGTAAAATTTTGCAGTTGAACAAAAAAGGTGGAAAAATTTTTAAAAGTAAAAAATGAAAAAAAAATTTTGCAACTGCCAAAAAAGGTGGAATAATTAAAAAAAATGTAAAGGAAAATTTTACAATTGCCAAAAAAAGGTGGAAAATTTTTTAAAAAATTGAAAAGTAAAATTTTGCAATTGAAAAAAAAATATTCTTCCTATAAATTTCTTTTATATATATATTTTTTTTTAGTCCTGTAAGTGGAACTGGATAAAACAGCATTTGCTAAAAGCCAGGGCAAGCACTCCCCTTGCCATAATAGTAGATTAATTTTAAAAAATAATAATATAACCCAATTTTATATCATTGCTTGCAGCTTGAAGCTAACTTTTTGCAAAAAATGGCAATTTTATTATTAACCTTATTCATCTTATTATTAACCCCAGCACTGGTGTAGCTTTTACATGTCAGCAGCAATGGGGGAAAAAAATCAAATTGAATGATTATTTGATTATTTAATGCAATATTTGGGGAAGGGCAAGATGCCACTATTGAGGATATGGGGGAATTCAAGGCAATGCCACTAATATTTAGAAAATTATAATTTTAAAATAACCACAAGATAATGAAATAAAATCTCTCTAATTCACTCAACTATAATGGAAATAAAACTGCACTCTTGCAATAAATGTAATTTTTTTCCCCTTTTTTGACCCATTTTCCCATTCTCCATGTGCAGCTGGTTCTCAACTGTTGAACAAAATGCCAACAAAGGGGGTTTTTTTCACCTTTTTATTCAATTTTCCCTGAATTTTGATGCATTTTGTCAAGAAATCGATTCCTTGGCTTAAAAAAAGAGGATTTTCTTATTTTTTATATGGAAAATTTGCTGCAATCGCTGTGAATTTTTGCTTTGCCTCCCAGACTTTCCTTTTCATAGGTAAATTAATTAATAAAATGCAAATATGACCATAAAATACTTGTATTTTTTTTAACATCCTCTTCCCCATCTTCAAAATTTTGGGGGAAATGGCTTTTGGGTTGAAAAATGAAGATTTCTCATTTTTTCAAAAAGCAAAAATACTGAAAGCAAATGGCTTTTGCCATCGTCTGGCCAACGAACACGGTGGAAATATCATATAAAACCAAATGGTGGTGCTTGGAGAACCTCAAAAAGCAGTGAGATACCACCAAGGGCAGCCAGAGTGTTGGACCAACCTGAAGATCTCCATCTTTCCTCTCCTCCCTTGTTTTTTTTTTCCATGATTCCTCCAAAGAACAGCATCCAGAAGATAATTTTGGGAAGTTCATTAGGAAAAAATAATTTGGGATATTGGAAAATGGGAAGAAGAAACTGCCATTTCCAGATGCAATGGTCAAAGTCATTTCAACAGCGTTTTATGATGAAAAAAAATTGCTGCTTTTTTGGTGGTGTAGTGGAAATATTCACACAAAACCAAATGTGGTTTTTGGAGAACCTCAAAAAGCAGTGAGATACCACCAGGAGCAACCAGAGCGTTGGACCAACCTGAAGATCTCCATCTTTCCTCTCCTGCCTTGGTTTTTTTTCCATGATTCCTCCAAAGAACAGCATCCAGAAGATAATTTTGGGAAGTTCATTAGGAAAAAATAATTTGGGATATTGAAAAATGGGAAGAAGAAACTGCCATTTCCAGATGCAATGGTCAAAGTCATTTCAACAGCGTTTTATGATGACAGAAATTGCTCTTTTTTTTGGTGGCATAGTGGAAAATTATCCCAAAACACCACTTCAAAGGTGTCCAAAAACGCAGAATATTGATAGTTATTAGAAAGCAGTAATTTATTGGTAATTATTAGAAATATTAGTAATTTATTAGAAAAAGAAATGAAATAAATTCACGGTGTTTCTGCAAGCGCACTGTGAAACCAAGGGTACCCAATGGAAATGGATAAATAAATATAGATATCTCCAAGAAGATTTTTAAAATATAATTTTTGCATCCTAATTACCAGGGATCACAAATGCCAGCCAAAGTCTATTTTGCTGCAGCGGAAAACGTTTTCTATTTTTAGGAGTCAAAGAAGTTGAAATGTTTCAGGCAATTTTTGAAACTCGCGTGTTAAAAAAAATAAAAAATAGATCACTAGGTGGCTCTGCAGATCCACATCTCGGCGTGGACCTTCCACAGCTCTACGGCAAAATGTGATTTTGAGGAATTAAGTCATTTTCATGAAGAAAACCACCTGGTATATATTGAATTGCACCAAAAAAAACCTTTTTTACAATAAAACAAGAATCAGAGACCAAGAGGCCACACATAAATAGGTGTTAAAATCCAGCACTACTTGAGCTGGTGTCCTTCTGCTCATGCTTTATGACACAGCTATTTATTTCTGGGTGGCACACGCGCTTAAAAAATTTCTCTTATCATCCTCGCTTTGTGACATTTCTTTGTGCTCGAGTAAAGCTGAGGAAAATCAGGGTTAGTCAGAGAAAAAAAAATATAAACCTATAAGTTTGCAGAGAAAGAGTTGGCCAAACTCAAATTCATGGAAGAAGATTTGTAGGGCTCCTTCATGGGTGGATGGGTGGATGGAGATGGGAAAAAAACAAAACAAAAGTTGGCTTTAAATACCAGAGAAATCCAGGCTTGTCCACAGGGCAAATGTGAATAAATTAAAATCTATTAATCTCTATAATTAAGTACTCTATAATTAAATACTGCACTGAGTCAGACCAAGCCAACCGGCAGCCTCCAACCACCAGCAAGATGAGGAGAAAGACAAGAAGAAGAAATGTTGTCCTGAAAATGTTCATATGGACACTGCCAATCTGCTGCGATTCTCACTCAAAAAAGAGAGCTGAAAAATGCCAAAAATTTAATCAAATTTAAACATCCCCGGCCATGCGGCGGTTGCCAGTGTGACTGGTTTTGTGGTGGGTTTTTTCTTGCAAGTAAAGTCAACTGGAGAGCAGTGAGGACCACTTTGATATCAAAGGCAACTTGAACTGATTTACTTTAAATTTGGGGTTAAATTGACTTCTTTTCCCTCCCCTTCATGGAAAAAATTAGCTGCCCTGTCTGAAAAAAACTTCAAAAATGTTCATTAAATTGAGTTAAAAAAGGGTCTGATGGGAACTCAAGGAAGAGGAATGAAGCCAAGTGAAAAGCAACAAAAAAAAAATTGAAGAAGGGGAATTGACTTGCAGGCCAAAGAGGCTAAAAGTCCTCCAACACCACAAAGTGAAGAAGAAAATGAGAAGGTAATGGAGAAAACAGGGTCAAAAAATGTCTATAAAGTAGCGCGAGTTCAGAAAAGGCTCATCACATAGGAACAACTCTTCACTTTTCACCCAAATTTGGCCAACGTCAGGAGTCATCTCCAGACGTGGCAAGGTCAGAAGATTTCAGCAAGAGTTGGAAGGTGCTCTTTCATCTTTCCATCACCTCCAGGCGTTTTTGCATTTCCAGAAATTCTGGCATTTTACATTTTTGAAAGCACAACTAACACCAAGCCAAGGGCCATCTTTCTTTTTTTGGATACACCAAGGAAATCCAACCACAATTCTCCCACAAGGACATTTTGACAACTCCAGGAGTTGTTTTCTCAGTTTTGGTTGATGTCCTTGTTATTGCATAGCCATAATTTTTGAAGCGGGTTGTCCCGTGATAAAAAAGTTTGCAAAAAAAATTGAAATCTTTCACTTTCATGAGCAACCTGGTGTATCTGCTACCCCCACCTCCCACACCCTGATCGCCACAAAATGATCACCGCCCCTCCTACACTGTGAGAAAAACCTATTTTCCGAGAGACCTCATTCATTAATATTCATCATCTTTGTATTATTCTGATTTTTTTTAAACAATTCCTAAATGAGTGGCCCCCTTAGCTGTTTTACCTGCCCTCAACATGAGATGAATTAAGATGATACTTAGCGAAATCATCCCTTTTGATAGTTTTTTTCAACATGGATCCTGTGATTCTTCAGGTTTCTGGAGCATCTCCAACCCTTCAAACTCAACTGATGGATAGAAAGTATTTCCATCCTAAAATAAAAAGGTTTTTTTTTAAGCCTTCCCCATGCAAACTCGGGTATATTCAAGGAGTTGAAGCACTTCATGTTGCTTACTTGGATAATTAGAAAAAATTTGGTGTTATACCATCTTCAGTATGTCATCCTCATCCAATGACCAGTTGAGATGGTGGCTCCTTCTGGTCAATCAACATGAATATTTCGACTCCGGTTGACTGAAAAAACCTTCATCGTTGAGTTGTTTCCCCTCCAGTTGGGTCTTTCTGGGTGTGTTCCCATTTATTTAGCAACTACCTCCAAATCCTCACTTGAATTTCTCAACTTTCAAGTCTTGCCCAGAAGGAAAACAACAACAGCTCCAGATTTGCAGGAATCAGAAGCTCTCCACGAGCCTGATTATTTTCTAAAGACTTGTGCTAATTTTCTGATACGATCCCCACCTCTTTATGAAGCACTAAATCCTCATTACTTTTCCTGACCGATGCATTCTAATTAGATCAACACTTAAAAAAAAAAAAAAAAAAAGGAAAAGAAGGGAAAAAAAAAATCACAATAGCCACAGGACAGCTTTCCATCTCATTAACTCCCTCACTTATTATTTTCATGAAAATTACTGATAAAAAAAAAACCAACCCTGTGCATCTCCATTTGCTGGGACCGGGAGCTTCGTCGGCTCCTATCTACCATCTCTCTCATCACCCGGGATGCGAGAGCTGTTGCCATGACGACGCACAATAATAGAAACTAATAAATTACAAACGAGATGCTCGTTGAGCAATTATTGTTCTCTTTTATGCGAGTGTCTTGCTAATTTGGATCATAAGGAATGTTCCCATCAAGCAGTGAAGGGATAATAAGTTCATTTCTACAGATTATTAGAAAATCGAGAGAGGTCAGGGGGTTTTTTGGTTTTGGTTTTTGGTTTGGTTTTTTTTTTTAGATCAATGATTAAGTGATTTGGTGCTTTTAGGAAACCTAAAGAAGAAATAAAAACTTTTCTGGGGGATTTTTCCTAAAAGTGTTGTGTTGGGAGCTTGGAACTTGGCATCACTTGGAGTTGAGCTGCTAAAATCACTTTTTTTTTCTTTTCTACCACCCTAAAAATGCCCTAAAAAGCCCCCACCACCTGCTTCCTTTTGGAGGAGAACCCCAAGAACTGCCTGGGGACACCCTGGATTATTTTGTGTTGGCTGAAGTTATTTCTGGGGGGTGGGGGGGCTGTACAACCCCAAAATTTCATTTCCCCTCCAAAAAAAATCAAGTGTCTGAGAAAACGAAACCCCCCAAGGGATGCACAATATTGCATCAAGGATTTTTTTTTTTTTTTGATGCAACCAGCCAACATTTATTCCCCGCAAGGCAAATGCATGTGAAAACCCCACCCCATATTTCATATTTTTTTCCAAATATTCAATTAAAATCTCTTATTTTTGCCCTAAAAGCCACCAAGGTGCAGCTTGATTTGGCCATTTCAGTTGATTTTACTGCAATTCTTGGGCAGAATTCTTCCCTTCTCCCAGCTAAAAATGAAAATATGCAAAAAAAAAAAGTCAAGATGGGAATGTGGATCATGGTGGGGCAAAAAAGGAGTGAAAAAACGGTTATCTGAGACCCAAAAATCTGTGTTTTTTTAAATTATTTTACTCAACTGGGGATGGCTTTTGATGAATTTCCAGAAGAACACAAGAGTTGTAGCCTTCAAACCTTGTTGGCCCAAATTGCCCTTTGGCCAACATGCAACAATGGTGATTATGGGTGATTTCAAGGCATTACCTGGGGATGGAGGTTGATGGAGGAGGGGTTTGGGGAGTAGGGCCCCCCAAGGTCATTCCTGAGTAGGTTATCACTGTGCATCTTGGTTTTGAGGCAGGTGATGTAGCGGTTGCAAAAGTCCTTGCACAACTCATTGACCTTCTCCAGCTCCAAGAGGTGGATGCGCAGCACCTGGATCGCCTTCACCATCTACACGCAAAGGCACAACGGGCAGAGTTAAAATCATGTTTTTCCTCAATATGTTGGAAAAAACCCTAAAAAATCCAATATTCTCAAAATCCAAAATCCAACCTGAAACCAAATTTTATGGTAGAATTACAAACATTTTCTTTCTAAACACACCAAAAAAAAATAATATTCTTGACCAAAACCCAACATGGAACTAATTTTTATGGTAGAATTACAAGCATTTCTTTTCTAAATACACCAAAAAAGTGCCAAAAGTTCAATATTCTTGACCAAAACCCAACTCAGAGCCCATCCCTCTGCACCTCTGCATTTCTATTCTCCATCAGTCATACCTCTGAAATCCCAAAAATACACAAAATTTCCCCTTGGGAATTGCTTCCCATGCCCCAAAAAAAACTCAAGAGGCAAAAATACACAAAATTTGTCATTGGGAATTGTTCCCCATGCCCCCCAAAAATCCCAAGAAGTAAAAATACACAAAATTTATTGTTGGGAATTGTTCCCCATGCCCCCAAAAAAGTCCAAGCCAAAGCCCTGGATATCAAAAAGTCTTTGGTTGTTCTCTGGAGGCCACTTCTTCTAACAAGATTACAGGACCTACAACTTCACCGTTAAGCTGTTGCCGGTGCAAAGCCTGGACCTCGTTAAAACATACCCCATAAACGTGAAAAAATTTACACATAAAACCTTCCCCTCGCCGAGCTGCAAACCCGTAAGTTTTACAGCTGCTCTTTGAAATCTTGCGTAATATATAAAATTTCAGCTATTCACTCCGGGGTAATAAATCCAGTTTTATATCACAAAGAGTCTTTGCATTTCAAAGGGTCGTTTTGGAACTTGCAAATTTTAGTGGTCAATTTTTATAAACTGGGAGTTGCCACGGGTGGGAAACATCCCAAAAAATCCAGGGTCAAACTCAAAGTGGTGGCTCTGCAATGGAGAACGCGAATTTTCAGATGGTGAACAACAAGGACCATGGGTTGTGGCTGGGGAAATCTTTTCCTTTTTTTTTTTTTTTTTTTTTGGGCTTTTTTTTTTTTTTTTGCTTTTTTTTTTCCTTTTTTTGGCTTTTTCTCTGGCTTTTTCTTTCTTCCTCCACAGTTGGCGCTGGCAAAGCGCAAGGTGGAAGCGTCGCGCCCCAGCTCTCTGCCTCCTCCCAGGGCTCAACGGCCATGAAAGTCAATATTCAAGGGCAAAGGCAAGAAGACCTGACACATAGACGTATAAAAAAATAAATCTCTCAATTATCTCAGCTCATTTGCTTAGGGTCTCATTTTATGGCCCCGCTCCGCTGCGCCGTATATCTGTCCAGATAAAGAGTTACAGTCCGACGGCGGACGTGCGCGGGGTTGTAAAAAATACAGATGCTGAATTAATTGACTGTGTGGCGCTCGGCAGCTGATTGAGTTGATAATGGTGAGATCTGACCTTTTTCTAATTTCTAATTATGTGCATCTCGGCGGTGAGGAATACATGACTCTTATTCTAATGATAGTTAATGCCATCGGCCTTTTTATTCCCGCTTTGCCGGCGTCGATTTCTGGGGAATTGGTAATGTTAAAAAAAAAAAAAAAAATCCAAAAATTAACCAAAAAAAAAAAAAAGACAAAACAAATAAAGAAAATAAAGAAAAAGTGTCAACTCAAAAACACGTGAAAATATTGAATTTTGGGCACCACAAGATTTTTTCACCCAAAATTCCCTCCAGTTGGCATTTCCCACCAACTGGAACGGTCATTCTTCAGCATCATATTAACCGTCTCCTCTGTCTTGATGGAGGTCAACCACACTTGGCAATTTGGATGGTTTTTGGAGAAGTTTGGGGGATTGGATTTGAATTTATACATATAGATGTGTCCTAGAAATAGGGAAAAAAAATATATAGATATATGTATATACACACACACACATGGATATAAATACATCCAGTGCTTCAAGGCCATCCATGGGATCAACACATATCTCCATGGACAAATTTCACCACAGCAGTTATAGTCATTCGCAAATATGACACTTATGGCCCAAAAAACCATCATTGGTGTGGATTTTTTAGGAAGAAACCACAAAAAAAACCCCAGTGAAAATAGTTTCTGTGGACACATCTCCAGCACTGACCCTTTGCTGGAGAGGCTTCACCTTGATATATGTAGGACTAGATTTTCCTCCTCTAAAATTTCAGCTGTTTTTAGCTTCAGTTGGCTCCATCCTTCTCTTCTTGCTAAGTCATTCCACCCATTTTTATCTCATTTAATGTTTTTTGAGGAACCTCAACATTCGATACATATTCAGTCCCATAACTGAAATAATCCAAAACGTTGTTTTTTTGGTCACTTAGCCCAGAGCAATTTCTATTCTTGGCTGGAAGACACTGCAAAATGGGCTTAGTCATTGGCAAACGAGACTTTGCATGCTCCGTATTTTCTTGGAGGGCTTTCCACAGCCTGCGAAAGCCACTCATGATTTAGGGATCTTGCAAAACTCTCCTCCAAAAGTTGAAATCAGGGACAAAAGATGCAGGATTTTAATCCATCTTGAAACAATTTCTTGGGTTTTTTTAGGAAAAACGGTGGGTTTTGCCCTTGGATGAGCATTGCTTGTTCTTCTACCCTTCTTGCCAGGTCATTGGATAAAATCACCTTCTTGATATCTGCAATATTTGGAAAAAGCTGCCTGTGAATTGCCGGATTTTCTGTCTCTTCTGGGATGGAAATCCCTCTACAACATATCCCACAGGACACACCATCCCCTGGAGAAGATATTTTGCTCTTTGCATCATCAGAGGTGGGTGAAATAACCTCTTTCAACCTTAAAAATGTGCTAGTGGAGCAGTGGGAGGAAGTGCCAAAATGGTGCCATGGACCTGTCCACCCATGTTTGCCATGGAGACCACATGCGGAGGCTTCCTGGACAAAATAAAGGAATTTGGGGATGTTTCCTGAGGTCCCTGCAAGAGAAATGCTCCATGCCATGTAGAGTCTAATTGAGGCACCTTCCAGCAGCAATAAGTATGGCAGGAAATTTGGGTTGCTAAGACAGAGAAGCCACCAAAACCAGTCCAAAGTGTCCCAAACCATCGATATCCATCACCCTTTTTGGAAAAAGCTCTTATTTTGCCTTATTTCTAGGGCAAGAGAAGACCATCACACTTGAAACAAGATGGAGCCAGAGAAGAACGCAGATGTTACTGCCCGTTGCACCAAAGAGAAGTAATTCCAGCAAAAATTGCAAGTTTTGGGGCACAAACCCACCATCAATCTTGGCTGTTCCCAGGAAATACATTCATCTCATGGTCTTTGTGGTGTCAAACCAGCCAAAAATTGGACAGAGGTTTGTTCTCACAGACCATCTTATGGAGAAGGTCTTCCAAGGTCTACAGAAAACATTGCCAAGATGGCCAACACTACAAATGGAGCTCCAACACATTGCCCAAGGTGGTAGATCTCCATAATTTGTTCCTCACCCCCTACACTCTCCCCACCCTCGCAAAAACCATTTGTCAAGCCCCAGTTGCCTCTACCAGGTTGTCCAGCTCGGGGTCATCGCTGAAGAAGGGCTTGTGCTCCTGTTCCTGCTGGTGGACGAAGTTCTCAATGTCGACGTCGAAGCTGGCTGAGGTGATGCACTCGGAGCCCTGCGTCGCCTGCTCGCACTTCTCAAAGAGTAGAGTCAGCAGCGGGAACAGCGGGTGCCTGCAGATGACAAAGGAGACACCCCATGATGCCCATGTCCATTTTTACCTCACACCATCCATCCATTCCCTCCCAGCTTGCAAGGTCCTGGTGGTGCAGACCTCACTCCCAAGCTCAAAAATTGCAAAATTCCCCGTTTCTCCACTAGTCAATGACTTCTCCCAACGTCTTGGTGCTTTCCAGCATTGCACCAAAGCTGGCGTTTCCAAAATCTTCTGCCATGGGCAAAAAGGTCTGGCTTCGGGGTAGTTGTCCTGGAGCCATCTGCTGTCCTGGTGGCTTTGCAATTGGAAGGACTGACATCAGCACCCGCTCATTGATGGCAAAATTTTATTGGAAAATGTCTCTCTTGGTTGGAGATGCTGGATGGAGATGGGCTGGTACGTCTATGTGTCTGTGGCAGCCTTTGGATGGACCTTGGTATGGGATTGGATGGACCTGGGTATGGGCTTTGGAGAGACCTTGCTATGGGTTTTGGAGAGACCTTGCTATGGGTTGGGATGGATCTTGCTATGGGTTGGGATGGATCTTGCTATGGGTTGGGATGGACCTGGGATTGGATGGACCTGGGCATGGGTTTGGATAGACCTTGCTATGGGTTGGGATGGACCTTGGTATGGATTTGGAAGGATCTTGCTATGAGTTGGGATGGACCTTTGGACCTTACTATGGGTTTTGTATAGACCTTGGAATGGGTTTTGGAGAGACCTTGCTATGGGTTGGGATGGATCTTGCTATGGGTTGGGATGGATCTTGCTATGGGTTTGGATGGACCTTGCCATGGGTTTGGAAGGACCTTGCTATGGGTTGGGATGGATCTTGCTATGGGTTTGGATGGACCTTGCTGTGGATTTGGATGGACCTTGCTATGAGCTGACCTCCACCAAGAGGTCTCTGCACCTCTGTCAAGCAAAACCATGTCCATCCATGAAGATGGGTCAAGTCCCACTTCTTTCTCACCACCAGATGTCTCTCAGGAAGCAAAGATTTGCAATTCTTCTCGCAAACCCACGATTCGCTTGAACGCCGACGCCGAGTCAAAATGGAATTACACGGACGACCTCAAAGCATGTGGAGAAGAAGGGGATGAAGACCACGAGTTGGCACCAATCTTGGGGACCTTCTTCAAAAGCGCAGATTAAAAAATAATAATAATAATAATAATTTATGGAGATTTGGAGGTGAGAAGCACAAAATGCTGCTCCAGGGATGGACTCTCCCAGTTATCCCAGTGCGATGGGATCTGCTCCACCATTTGATCTCCAAAGATTGATCCAAGAGAGGTTAACGAATCATTTCCTGATGGTTTTTTATTCCGAGACGGAGTCAAGCGAAGGGGTTAAACCCTTCGGCAAAGTCGCCAACGCCGCAGGATATGAGAGTTTAATCCGTCCTGATCCCGGTTTAATGCCGGATCGGCCGAGGTGGGAGCGGAGCTGGGAGGGGAAGGGGGAGGAAGGAATTCCTGCATTTCGGCAGCTCCACCAAGGGATGGGAAAAGCAAATTCCCAGCGACGGGTGAATTATTGGGATTTCCGGAGGCAGCGGCTCAAGTGGCCGTTGCCGTATCCAGAGCTGTTCGGAAAGTGCGGAATTAGTGCAAAGGATGGGTTACAATTTTTAATTTAATTTTATTTTATTTTATT